TCTGTCCCTTGAGAGCGGAGGATAGCGTGTCGCTCCGCTCGGCAGGGCGGGAGGCTCGGCAATGCTCGGGACGCTGGCGCTTGGAAAGGGGCACGTGGATAGCGTGTCGCGCCGAAGCGTGGTGGGCCAGAATCGGCGGAGCGACACGCTGTGCAAAGGATCCCGAGCGTGGCCATCCTGCTCACAGGCTTGAGAGCCTCGAGTCTTGTACTGTGCCACGGCCAAGCAGCTGGGGAGGCCACGCCGCCGGAGAGGACCCCAGGGGGGACGGCGATCGGCGACTGGCGGCGACGGCTTCCCGTGCCGAGCCCGGGGTGAGGCGGCGGGGCGAGCAGGAGCAGGGCCCCCGAGAGCGCGGCGGCCTGCGCGGCTCTCCTCCTCCGGCTGCTCCTCCTCCTCCTCCTCGGAGCTGCTCTCCGAGTCCTGGAGGGTTGGGGGAAGCCCGCCTTCATCCTGACCCCACCGAGGCACGAAAGCCGCAGCGAGACACCGAATGAAAAAAGAGGAGGAGGAGGGGGAGGGGGAGGGGGAGGGGGAGGAGGCGGAGGAGGCGGAGGAGGAGAAGGACCATTGCAAAACCAAGACGCGTCAAGGATGGATGCTGCAGTAAACCCTCCCTCCAGATTCCCTCTTTCATGGGCCCCTACAAGAATACATCTTCATTACGGGAACTGCCCCATTGGACGAGAACTGTTTGAGAATCCCGAGTCGCTCCAAAAACACAATTCATGGCACATGAACGCCACATATCAACGTGACTGTTGCGTCCTCCCAATATGACTTCGTGCCAGAGCACCGTTCCTGCGACTTCAACACCGCTAACCAACGTGACTGTTGCGTCCTGACAATCCCAAATCGTGCCAGAACTCCGTTCCTGAGACTTCAACGATACGAACCCTTGAAACGGTTGCAAGCTTCCAACACGAATGTGCGCGGCGCGAATGCCAGAGCCGCATGTTGAAATCGAATCGCCCTCCATCCTTGCAACTGGTGCGAGATGTTGCTGTCGAGCTGTTGGTTGCCAGTCTGTGGAAGTTGGCGGCCCTAAAAGGGGACTAGCCACCCTCCAACGGCCAGAGCTCTTCAGCCTCAGCTTCACGCTTGCCCCGCCTGCACCCCCGAGCCCGTTCGACCGCCGAATCGGGCAAGGCAAAGCCGTGCAGGCGAGCAACCTGGGCCAGGCCCACGACGGGGACGGACACCCCACGCTGGTGGAAGCCGACGGGGCCCCTGGATCCTCCAGAAGGCCGAGCCCCAGGGCGCCCGCCAGCGACCGACGAAAGGCCAAACCGCAAACGAGGACCCAGCCTTACGTCGGGCGTGTCCCCCATACAGGGGGATTTTGGGCGAAGAATCAAAAATATAGAAGATAATCAAAAATATTCAAAAATAGTAAAACACTCGTCCCCAGACTAATTTTAGACTATGTTTGAACATGCCTCCTATAGAGGGACACGCCCGACTTAAACCCAGCCCCACCGCCCTCAGACGGCCCCGCACTGGACCCCTATCAGCTTCCCCTACAGCCATTCAACAGCCTCTTCCGCAAGGCCTCTAAACGCATACGGCCTTGGAGGGTGCGGGGCAAAGGGGTGCAGGAACCTTCGGAGGCGAGAGCGTTGGGTCTTGAGCCCGTGGCGCTTGGGCCCCATGCAGGCTGCCGCGAGGCCTCTGCCATGGGAGACCCTTTGGCCAACCGAGGCCCCGCAAGACTTGCAGAAGTACAAGCTCAACATCACGATTGACCACCGGATGCCCTCAACATCACAATTGACCACCGGATGCCCTTGAAACAGCCACGGCCTCCCAAGAATCTCCCCAAGCTCCACCCCCTCCACATCAGTCGGCACGGGCTCGGGCTTGGGCGGTAGAGGGGCTGGGGCTGCTTGCTTCCAGCCGAGATCGTCACGATCGTCACGGGCTTGGAAGGCCACCTCCAACCACGTCGCATCAGGGTCAGCCGTGCCACACTCAAGGTCTAGGACACCTTCAGTGTCCCATGCATCATTATCAGTGCCCCAGGCTTCATTATCACCGATCCAGGCATGGATGGGACCTACTCACTGCGCGAGCATGCTGGCCATGTTCTCGCACACTTCAACAACAAGATCCTCTCAGGCGGTATCAATTGGGTCCCCATGGAGGGTGAGGAAGGGGAGGATGACGGATAAGGATAAGGGAGGGGGAAAGCGGACGGAGGAAAAGGACGATGCGGAGGGAAGGCATGGAGAGAAGAAGGAGCAGGACACATCAAAGTTAGTTCAACTATGAGCGATGCAACGAGGTGACACACTTGCGACAAACATGAGAACACCCCGCCGATGTAGAATTCAGACCACACCTGGCTAAGTTGTGCATTATTGAAGCGGACAGCTCACACATTGGGCAATTGATGGGGGACACGCTGGGCACGCTGGATAGAGGCGGGCTCATTCACGTTTGAATCTCAATAGAAGCATCGGCGTCTCAATAAACATAACGGAGATAAGCTGTGTACCCCCCTCCCCTGGAATGATGATGGTGTAAACAATCCCATGAAGCATGATCATATTCGCTCACGGCTTCCAGCCGATACCGACTTCGGCCGGGGCTCTCTCGGGACGGGCACAACGGACGGGAGGATGAGAGTCAGGGGTTGGCGGGTGCGAGGAGGGGGACGAGCGGCAGGGGCAGCGGCAGTGATCACGGCAGTGATCATATGGTGAGCTTGCGTGGGAGGAGGAGAACTGAGGAGGAGAGAATGCAAGGCAAGAGCAGGACACGAGCAGGAAGAGAAGGAAAGGAAGACGAGAGGAAGCATGAGGGGGAAGAGGATGAGAAACGGGAGGCGAACGAGGAGGAGCAGGAACCACATGAGGCGGGTGGCACGACGAACGAGCGGAGAAGAGGGTAGGATAGGCGATTCGAGGCGGAGTCCGAGCAGCCCTGAGGCCAAATCAGGCGCAGAGAAACCCCTCGCTGCCAGCCGCGATCGACCCTGATAGAAACTTTTGCCATGAGAAGCGCTACATGAGGAACGAAGTCCACATTCGGACCCAACAGCGCCTGGGTGCACGAGGAACGCTGGAGGAGCTACTGTGGACGGACCTAAGGAGCAGCGACCCCCTTCAGAACCCGCATCGGTCACTATTTCAGCGTCTTGGCCGTGCTGCTCTGGCGTGGCCCTGGCGTACCCGAGTCTCAGAGGCCTTCAGGCGCGCCGCCGCCTTGAGAAGGCCTCCTCAAACGAGGACGCACAGCCCCAGAGAAAGCGAGGACGTACAGCCGTGGAAGAGCGACCTCCGTCACACACGAGAACGGCTCGTGTAAGTCAATGTTTCCATCCTTGGGTCTGGGCAGGGCTTCCCCCGATTACTGCACCTCTCGGAGCAAGCAGGTGGCAAGCAGAAACACGACGTGGGAGGACGCCAGAAGAAGGCTGAGGCTCTGGCCCGTCCCGCCCACGACAATGGAAGAAGAAGTGGAGGCTGGCAGTGGCTCGAACTCGGGCACCGCTCAAAGTAGACTCGGATCTGGCAGCGCACGTGCTCTGAACGACCAGCACGCACTCCAGCACGCCAAGGGGGGGCGCGCAAACAGATGGCCAGAGGGGGACTCGGATTGCAACAGCTAAGCATATTTACCAGCGTGGGCCCCAAGCAGTGGGCTCTTGCACTCTCGATATGCAGTCGTTGCGGTGCAATCTGCTTTAGGATGTGCAGGGTGCGCAACACATTGGGTGTAATCTGCGTGAGATGCTATACGGGTGTCGATGTATGTCGAGCGAGTTGTTTGGTGCAAGCTATGTCAGGCAAGCCATGCCAGTTGCAAACTAAGGTGCGCCAGCTACGTAGTGCAATCCATGTGGCGCCCGCTAGATGGTGCATCTGTTGTACAGTTATATATATATATATATATATATATATATATATACACAGGTATATACAAGACTGCAGCGGCGCTTCGCGCCATGCACCTTGGTTCATCGAGTTTCGCACACGGGCGGCGTGCGTGCGCGTGCACATGCTCGCGCGAATATGTGCATACATGAAATGCGCGCACGTGCATGCACGCTGTAACTATATAAGTAGACACACAGGTGTGCATATACCTGTATATATGTATACACAGATTTGTGCGTGGGTCTATAGATGCATGTGTATAGATGTATGGGTATATTTATATATATACACAGGTGCATGCATATGCACCATGTCTACTCGGGCAGATCTACGTGTGCACATCTGCATGTCTATGTACAGACTTGGGTGGGAGACGGCATGGAAGACACGGCAGAATGTGGAACAACGACCTGGGCTTACCAATGACCGTGTCTTTGGGACTATGGAAGGAGCCGTGTGAGGGCCTTGGGGAGCCTCGGGAACGTGTCGCAGCGGGGCTCGATTATCTCGACGCTGAAGTTGTTTTGCGCCGCCGTTCGCTCTTGGGAGGCCTCGCGTTCAGAATGTTAACGTCACGTGGACCTTATTGGAGCCTCCCGGAACCTTCTGAGGGCCTCTGTGGGACGTGGTGTAGTCCCGTTGTGGCTCGGGCCCGTCTTGGGGCGCGTATTGGCTCTGATGGGCTGTCTTGGGGTCATGTTCGGGCTCCTGGCTCGCTTTGGGCCTGTCTTGGAGGCCTATTCGGGCGTTTTCGAACTTCTGTGCGGTCCTTGCGGGATCTTGTGGGACTCTTGGGGACCTCTTGGGGCCTCCTGGGGCTCTGTCGGGACTATGTGGGGGCCCTCTTGGGCCGGTTTGGGGCCCTCTTGGGCCAGTTTGGGGCCCTCTTGGAGTTCTGTCGGGCCGTCCTAGGGCGATCTTAGGGCCCTCGTGGGCCGTACTGGAGTGTCGGGGAACCGAAAAGCGGAGACCTCAAAAATCACCCAAAAACCAACGGGAAATCAGTGAATGTTGCCTCGTGGGGTCCTCTTGGGAGTGCTCTTGGAGGCCTCTTGGGACGTTTTGGAGCGATCTCGAACCTCTGTGGGGTCCTTGTGGGATCTTGTGGGAACCTCTTGGGGCTTCCTGGGGGCCTCTTCGGGGCCTCTTGGGGCCTTTTCGGGGCCTCTCGGGGCCCTGTCGGGACTGTCTCGGGGCCCTCTTGGGCCGGTTTGGAGGTCTATCGGAGCATCTTAGGGCGATCTTGGGGGCCTCGTGGGCCGTCTTGGAGCGTCGGGAAGCCGAGAGGGGGCGAACTTCCAAATCCCCCACAAACCACCAGACAATCAATTAATTTTGCCTCTTGGAGCCCTCTTGGGAGTGTTCTTGGAGGCCTCTTGGGACGTTTTGGAGCGATCTTTGGGGGTATGACGGCTCCTTCTGGGTCGTCCTCGACAGTCTTGGGACTCTCTGGGGCCGTTTCCAGAGCGCGCCAGAACGTCGGGGGCGCTCTGGGGGGCTCTCGTGAGGTCCTCCCAGGTCGTCTGGGGGGCTGCCCGGAAGGCCCGAGGTGGGCCAAATTCGTTGGGGGGGGGGGCGGGGGGGCGCTTTTTCCGTGATGTACAAATATATGAATAGGAATATGTAAATGTAAGTATCTGTGATACACATACAGATGTTTATACAAGCACAGATATTTGTGCGTGGAGCGCCATGTGTGGCGCAAGCTATATATGGTACAATGTACCAAGCGCAACCAAGTATGGATAATCTGGAATCGCCGAGGCCACTGCTCGTGCAAACAACCCATCCTCCAGCCAGCAACCTGTCGACAAACTCATACAGGCCGTGAGTGCAAGTAGCCATCAGGACTTGCTCGCGTGGGACGCGCGGACCCTGCTAGTGGAGGCCCGTGGCTCGGCCAACCAAACAACGATGGCGACAAGAATTCCAGCGGCGACGAAGACGAGCATAATGATGGTGATGGCAGTGGCGAAGATGACGAAGGCGACGAAATCAACGATGGTCATGATGGCGACGGCGGTTCTGATGATGCCGGCGATGACGATGATCATGAGGATGACGATGGCAATGGTGATGCCGGTGCTGATGACAACGATGGTGCTGATGACGGTGTTGAGGAAGAGACCACGCGCACAGAAATTCAAAATGTATGAACATGGAAAACATGCTGGCGCTGTATGGTGTTGAACACCTCTGTCGGCATGCTGAGAAATAAACTGGTGTGCGTGTTTTCTACAAACCCACGCGCAGAAATCCGGCAATGTGTTGCGGAACGAATGGTTAAAACTACTACATGCGAACAGCCAAGCTTTGACGTGTTGGGGAATTTGTCATGATGTCGTCATGCACGCGAGGGAGCGCGCGCGTGTGGACACTGCATGGAATTATTCTCGGTGGAAATCTACAGAACACATGTCCTAACTCAAGGCATGTGCACCGCAGGGATCTTTTTGCAGGAAGAGGCGGGGGTAGCTGGACACCAGCCTGGTTGGGACGAGATCAGCCGATGTACAGGATGAACGATCGTGAGCAGTCAGTAGGACAACGTGCCATGCGGAGGGGCACCAATACCGTACATCGACAACATGTGGCACCACTTTTGCCGCGCAATCGTCCCTATAATATTTTTGACTACTCCTCCTGTAGAAGGACATGCCCGACTCGAATATAGCCTCGCTCCTTGGCAGGAAAGGAACCTGGCGCACGGGGTGGCCATCGAGCGGCCACGGGCGGGAAACTCGGACAAGCGGCCATGGCCGACCCGGCCAACCGCACGAGTAGGAGACCACATGCGAACCCTGCCCCCTACCCCCCGAACGAAGTGAACCCCACCCTCCCCCTCAGAAATCGTGGGGGGCAGGGGGCACCATCGCGCGGGGCGGCCACGAGGCGGCCGCGGGGGGCCACCGTGCGAACACCCGGGGAGCCCAGCCGATGGCCGGAGGGGCTACGAAGCTACTTTGGATTCCATAATAAAGTGGGGGGGGGGGTCGCTTTGGGGGGGGGGGTTGATTTGAGCTGCCTTGGAGGGTTCGGGGGGGGTCTGGGCAGAGGGCCGCCCTTTCATGGATGGTCTGGGGGGGTCTGAAGCTTCTCGTCTGGGAGAGTTGTGACCCCCTCCCTTTTATTACGAAATCTGGAGTAAACAGAGCCCAGTGGCGCAACACACAGCTCGGGGGAATGAGAGCTCCATGATGTGCGCGCCGATGTCTCGGTCGGCGCCGGACCCAAGTGACCGACGCGCGCTCGCGAAGGAATTCCAGAAGGATGGGAACGCCCATAGCTGGACTAACACATGTGAGCGACGATCGAAAACGCGCCTTACGCGAGATGACGCTGCGACCTTACGCGGTGGCTTACGCGGGTCACCAGCGCGGCAAGTTGCAATGGAGATGAGGGCGCTTACGCGAGACCTCACGCGAGCAACTGATGCGCGAATGTCGGCGCAATCGAACCCGTTTCTTTGCGTCGCTCATGTTGAAGCTGCGGCGGCCACGAACTCGATACATGTGCGGAAGCCCAGCCTACGCGGCCACAAAAGGCCCGAGCGCTGGAGAGACGCATATGGCCGCAAGTTCTGTTGCTCGCAATGAAGCGATCGAGAATATCTGCAAGACATGGTACCTGCGAGATGCACCAGGCAGGCCCGGAGTCCCGCGAGGGCCAACATGCCATAAGCGAGCCGACACGCAAAGCGTTGGCTGGCGCGAGCCCCTGGAGACCCAAGACATCTGGCCACATGTGTATCCAGTGCTCCCTCGGGCCAGCCGTGTCACGTGTACGGTCAAGATACTACCATACTACACGCTAAACAAGGAACGACCGCAAACATGCAATGAGCCAACACGCAGAGCATTGGCTGGCGCAAGAACAAGGAGACCAAAGACATCTGGCCACATGTATGTCCAATTCTCCCTCAGGCCAGCCGTGTCATGTGTAATACCTACAGTCAAGCTGCTACCATAATTGATCGCTGCATCTAGGTCGTGGTAGTGAAAAGATCTGGGATTTAGAAGAACTGCCAGGGAATTAGAAACATCTTCTTTGAATTGAATAAGCCGTTGCTTGTGTTTACGAAATGCTGTTCTGGCTTGTTCTCACTCGGCAGCGCAATTTCATAACTCCGCTCCTCGATCTGCTTACACATCGTGTTTTCCAAACCATATTTGCAACAGGCGCATTCGTCCACTACCACTACCCATGTTGCTCGGGGAATACTGCACGCTAAACAAGGAACGACCGCGCCGAGGTGCACGAGGAGCGCTCTCGCGAAACGACCCTGGGATGACCCCAGGCACAGCGGGCTCTTGCAGAGCCCGAGCTGCTCCGCGTGCCAGTCGTCTTGACCACTCGGGGGTTGCCAAGGGTGCCCCTGGCCCGAGGCATCCTCAAAAATTCGCTGGGTTGTGAAGCCCCTGGGGCCCCCTGGGCCCCAGGGATGCTCTGGAAGCCGTGGGGGCCTCCTTGGAAATACTGAGGGCACCTCGGGACCGGGGCAAGTCTTGCGGCACTGGAACTGCATCCGGATTCCTGGTGGACTGTCGGAAGGCTGCGCGGATACTTTGGGCTTGCGCTGGACCGAGGACATCGACGCGGACCTCCACGCGAGGATGCTTAGGTTTCTACTTCTCTGACAGCATCAACCCGCGCGGCGCTCCTCCTCCTCCTCCTCTGAGGAGCCGCTGCTGCTGCTGCCGCCGGCTTTCGCGCCCTTCTTCTGCTTGCTGCCGCTCGGCGCTGCGCCGAAGGCGGACATCGCCGCGCCACAGGGGCTCATGCCTGCCGACGCGTCGTCGTCGAGGGAGCTTGCATCGGGGGAGCGAATGATCTAAGCATCGAAGAACGAAGGATCGAGGATCGCACCCACAAATCCGACGATGTGAAGTCTCACTCCGCGGCCACAAACCTCCCAACCATTTTGCCACGGATAAACTTCGCCGCGAATCCATGTTTGACCGTCCAAAAGACAGAAACTGGCCCAAAAAGGCAGAATCAAAGGAAACAACACACACTCACATATTAAAGGGGGCCGAACGGTCATTCACCATGGGTGCGTGGCTGAAATGGGCCTCTGCGGTGCGGATTGCTGTTGTTGCTGCTGTTGCTGTTGTTATTGGTGTCGTTGCTGTTGTTGTAGTTGTTGTTATTGTTGTTGTTGATGATGTTGTTGTTGCTGTTGTTGTTTTTGTTGAGCTCTCGAATAATCATTGTTGACCCCCCTCTGGTGACCATTGTGCTTTTCAATTGAAATGCTTCCTCCGGGGCTCGCACCCCGTTTATATATACATATATTTTAAAAGGAAAATCACGGGGTTCAAACTGGGTTGTTGGCACAGGGATTACAACAACAACAACAACAACAACAACAACAACAACAACAACAACGGCTCCCACCTGAAACTTCCTCACAATTTAGCCAGGACCCCTCCTGCCTGAGACGTCCTCGCATTTTACCGAAATCGCGTTCTCGTTTGGGACTTCCTTACACTATATCAAAGGATCGCTCTCTCGGCGCTCTGGAGTCGCGCTCTCGCTGGAAACTTGCTTGCAAGTTACTAAAGAATCGCGGTCAGACGTTGGAATTCCCTGCTATTTACTCAAGCGCCGCGCTCCCGACACTCAGGCACCCAGGAGTCGCGCTCACGCTTACGACTCCCTCGCAGCTTACTTAGGAATGGGGATATCGCTGCCCTTCGTGCCCCCGTTGCAGCCCTTCGTGGCCCACTCGCTGCCCTTCGTGGCCCCCTCGCTGCCCTTCGTTGCCCCCTCGCTGCCCTGCGTGGCCCCATTGCAATCCTTCGTTGCCCCCTCGCTACCCTTCGTGGCACCGTTGCAGCCCTTCGTGGCCACCTCGCTGCCCTCCGTGGCCCCGTTGCAGCCATTCGTGGCCCCCTCGCACCCATTCGTGGCACCGCTGCAGCCCTTCGTGGCCCCGTCGCTACCCTTCGTGGCCCCGTTGCAGCCCTTCGTGGCCATCTCGCTGCCCTCCGTGGCCCCGTCGTAGCCCCTCGTGGCCCCCATCGCTGCTCTTCGTGGTCCCGTTGCACCCCTTCGTGGCCCCCATCGGTGCTCTTCGTGGTCCCGTTGCACCCCTTCGTGGCCCCCTCGCAGCCCTCGTGGCCCTGTTGCAGCCCTTCGTGGCCCCCTCGCGGCCCCATATATGCCTGCCCTTCGTGGCCCCGTTCGTTCGCGCCCGCCGTGGCCGCATATGCATGCGTTTCGTGGCCCCGCTGTCGCCCTTCGGGGCCCCCTCGCTGCCCTTTGTGGCCCCGTTGCTGCCCCGCCCTTGCCCTCTGCGGCCCAGTGTACGCATGCCCTTCGTGGCCTCCGCTTTTTCGCGTCCGTCGTGGCCCCATGCGCATGCCCTTCGTGGTCCTGCTATCGCCCTGTGTGGCCCTTTCGCTGCCCTGCGTGGCCCCCTTCCTACCCTCTGCGGCCCCGTCGTTGCCCTCTGTAGCCCTGCATCATCTGCCCTCCCTGGCCCCCGTTCGTTCGCGCCTTCGTGGCCCCATACGCCTGCCCTTCGTGGCTCCGCTGTCGCCCTTCGTGGCCCCCTGCCTGCCCTTCGTGGCCCCGCTGTCGCCCTCGTTTTCGCTCTCGCTCTCGCTTTCGTTCGTCGTCGTCGTCGTCGTCATCGTCGCCATCGCCGTCGCGGTCGTCGTCGTCGTCGCCGTCGTCGTCGTCGTGGTAGTCGGTCCCCTGTCCGTCCCTCTTGGGGTCGGGCTGCCGCCGATCAGCGCTGCCGCTGGCCAGGCCGACGGTCCGCGGCCACCCCGCCACTTGCCGGGGCCCGGCCTGCAGGGAAGAAATATATACCACCCAAAAGGTGTACGATCGAAGACGAAGAGGGCAGGTATCGAGGGTTTGGGCAATACACATTGGCGGACACTCGAGCAGATGGTAACGAACAGTCTTAAAATGATTGTTGTTGCTGGTGGTGTTGTTGGTGTCAGTGTTGGTGTTGGTGTTGGTGTTATTGCTGCTGCTGCTGCTGCTGCTGCTGTTGTTGTTGTTGTTGGTGTTGCTCGTGTTGTTGTTGTTGTTCGTGTTGTGTATTGTCGTCGTCCCGCCCGCGACCGAAACCGCGACCCACCCGCGACCCGCCCGCAACGACCCACCCGCGACCCACCTGCAACCCACACGCGACCTTCCCCGCGACCCACCCAGGACCCATCTGCGACCCACCCGCAACACACCCCACGACCCGCCGGGGACCCGCCCGCGATCCACCCGCGACCCACCCCGCGACCCGCCCGCGTCCCGCCCGCGACCCACCCGCGACCCACCCGCGACCCGCCCGCCGCCCGCCCGCGACCCACCCGCGACCCACGGCGCGACCCACCCGGGATCCACCCGCGACCCACCCGCGACCCACCCTGCGACCCGCCCCGCGACCCGCCCACGACCCGCCCGCGACCCACTGCGCGACCCTCCCGCGACCCACCCGCGACCCACCCGCCACCCACCCGCCACCCACCCGCGACCCACCCGCCACCCACCCTCGACCCGCCCGCGACCCACTCGCAACCCACCCGCGACCCACCCCGCGACCCACCAGCGACTCGCCCGAGACCCATCCGCGACCAAACCCCGCGCCCGCCCCCCTCACTCTTATCCGCGACTGCGGGGTGCTACATACATCCTTCACGCGTCTGGGTTCAATCTGCGACGGCGACGACGACGACGACGACGACATCAACGACGACGAGGGGTTACGTATGTTGAATTCACGGGGAACCTTGTCTGCCCTCCTGACCTGGCCATCCGCACCGTATCCGATGCCATCCGAGCATATCCAAGGGCGTTCCATAGCTAATCGAGGCTACACGACGCCATTCCGAGGCTGTCTGAAGGAACTGAGATGCTTCCCCGACGCCATATGGACTGGACACCGAAGAATGCAGCAGGAGTCGAGACAGAGGACGTCCCCCGCATATTCTACCCAAGAGGAAAACCATCCATGACAACGGCCGCAGGCGCGCTGGTTAACGAGGGAGACGGGCATACGAGGCGACATCCCCCGCCAGCGTGAGGATCCGCCCTTCCCGCGCCTTCGACCATTCTCGGTCAAAACCAAAATGATCCTGAAAATGGTAAAACAAACAACAAAATCAGCATGCGCATGAGCTCTGGAAGGTCCGCAAGGATCTCTTGGATCGGCGCTGGACCTCCTCCCTGGCGCACGGAGCGCGCCAGGGGCGACGCTGAGGCGCCGCAAGGGGGGTCCAGCGCCGATCCAAGAAATCCGCGCGGACCTCCGACAGCTTCATGCTTATGCCGCTTTCTTCTTCGAGGCATCAGGGCCAGTCTGGGCGTTGCGCCCGACGGTCGCACGTGCAACATCGAGGGCAAAACGCCCCCCCACCCCCCCGCCCCTCCGAGCACACGGCCGATGCCAGGAGGTGGATCGCAGACAACAGCTACTTTCGCACGTTTTTTCAATCGGCTGCGCATGTGTCCCAACCAGCTTGGCAATGAGTCCATTAGGAGAAGGGGGGAGAGAGGAGGGGGAGAAGGTCCGGAGCAGGAGGAGGGGGCGCGAAAAAGAGGGGAGCATGGGGGGGAGACGGGCACCAGGAGGAACCTCGTCCACAGTCCCTGGTCCGATGAGCGGCGGAAGCACGACGACGACCACGGCGATCACGACCACTACGGCGGCAGCGGCGAAGGCGAAGGCGACGACCACGACGACAACGAAGACGGCGGCGACAACGGCGGGGTCGGTGATGACGCCAGAGAGCCGGCGGGAGGCTGGGGCGGAAGCTGCGCCACTCCCGACGGGGCCTGGCATGGCGCCGAAAGCGCCCATGCCCATGCCGCCCATGCCCATGCCCATGCCCATGCCTGGGAACATCCCGCCGAAGGCGCCGAAGCCTGATGTGTGCGCAGGAGAGCTCACTGAAGATAAACATCTTCTGAAGGTACAGCGTCTTCACTAAGGGCAAGTTTGTTCCATTGAAGGCACCAAGTGTTCTGGCTTCCTGAAGGAAGGCATTGGCTCATTTGCTAACACGCTTGCCTTCAGGAGAATGTTTCTCTTCAACTGATTCACTGTGTATGCTAATGGGGGGATGGAGGACCAAGAAGAGTGAGATGAAATAAGGAGCACAGGGGGGGGAGGGGGGAGGAGGAGAAGGCGGAGAATCGAGAACCGAAGTCTCCGCAAAGTATGCCACATTCTTGGCCGGCCGAAGCCTCCAGAAGCCTCTGCCAGGAATCTGGACACAGACGCGCACATGGCTGCAATCAACTGCGAAACATCTGGAGGCCACGCGTCGAACAGACACGTGCGGACGCCCTGCGTAGCGGGCGATCGAAGGGCCGAGCGATGGAAAGACACCTGGCCACATGTCTCCAGCTCCAGCCCAGGCCGGCCGCGTCAGGTGCATCCAGCTTTTCCTGGGCAAGCCGCAAGCGCTGCCAGGGCGTGAGGCCTCTGTATCCAGCTTCCTGGTAATCCCGGAGGCCTCCGGCGAAGAGGATTATTGGGAGGGGAAGGGGTGGGTGGACGGGGAGGATGAGGGTTTGTTATATGACCCACACTTCTGGGGCTCCTTCAGGGGGTTGGGCCTCGTGGCCACGGCTGGGCGCGGCTCGGAAAACTGTTCAGGACGGTGCCCAGGACGACGCCAGGAAATTAGATCTGGAGCGAGAACCGAAGGAGGGCGGGCACAACGTCTTTCCGAGGGCCAGCTTCCCCTCTGATTCGGCATCTGTATGGGGGCCCCGCTCTTCCGAAGAGAATAATGGGTCCACGCTTCTGAGGCCACGAGCCTTCGTAACAAAACAATGGGTCTGCGCTGCGCGTGCCACGTGTCTCGCGAGGCCACGAGACCCATCGTGCAAGAGGCCCGCGCTGACGCGGGGACACTCCGAGTAGTGGATACGCGCTCACGGGGGCAACAAAACTGCAACAGATAACGTATTCACGCTGCCTAGGCCATGCCCCGTCGTTAAAAAGTTCTACCCGCCAACCAGTCGGCCAACTTTCCAACCTCTTAGCAAAACAACCAGCGAACTAGCCGAGTTGGCAACCTGCCATCCGATCAACCGATCAACCAACAAACCCAAAATACAGAACCAAGCAGACGATCAACATGAGGGACCGGCGGCAGGTGGCGATACCCTCCGGGCAAGCTCTGAGAGGATCTCACATCAGAGCCACATATTGAGCAGGAACTGCCCTCCACCAATTTCAGGCGCTAGACATTTGTAAGACGAATGTGAGCGGCTCCATCCCGCGCTCCTCCTCCTTCTCCTTCAATCCTCCGCCTCCTCCACCACCTTCTCCTAATGTTTCCTTCCCTTCCTTCCTCCCTGCGAGGAGGCCGTGGGGGTCTTTCTGGTGGTGTGGTCCTCCTGGTTTGCGGCGTCCCGCTGGAGACATGCCCGATCTCCAGCTCGGGGAGGCATCGCTGGCCTCCTTGCTGGAGGTGCCCCGCTGGTGTTGGCGTCGCTTCTCCTCCCGCCGACCCTTCCTGCTCGATCCTCTCACCTCGGGCGTTGCGTAATGGGGGGGCGATGGGTGGGGGTGGGGGAAAAGAGACGTGCACCCGTCGTGCCCCTTTTGGGCCCCAGGGAGCCCCTTGATGCGCCCCTTCAGGGCACAAGAGGCGCACCTGTTTTGTCACCCCCCCGTCTCGCCGCCCCCCCCTTGCGCCACACCCGATGACCTTCCTCCCCGCCACCCCTCCGGGGGGGGCACGTGAACGGGTCAGCGCCAACGGTGGTAAGCCAACCCCCTCGGCTTTGGGCGCCGCGCGGAGCCGTGACCCCTCGTGACGCCGCCCTCCGCCGACTCGGGGTAGGTCGGGCATGTCCTCCTAGAGGCGGATTTGGAGGAAAAGGAAAAATAGTCAAACAAATCGAAAAGAAACAACAAATATTCAAACATAGTTCAAACCAGTCCCAAAAACATCCCCAGACAAATTGTTCTTATCTTTGACTATTCCTCCTATAGTGGGACATGCCCGACTTAAAGGTTCGCGCTGACCCTTGCGAGCGCGTGTCCGAGCTCTGGCTGTGTTGACGGGGGGCCTGCCGCCATGCCGGCCATCATGGCGGGGTGGTACCCGCCCGGCATCCCCATCATCCCCGCCATCGGCATTCCACCCATCTGGCGGGGCGCGCCGGGAGAGGGAGGATAGAGGGAAGGAGGAAAATAATGAGGAGTAGGAGAAGGAAGCAGGAGGATCGGGGCTCGAGGTTCGAGGGTGTTTGGGTATGTTTCGCCCTGTGTGTGGGCTTCGAAAGTGTCTCTGTCAGAACGAACCCGAGGACTATCCAAGGCACTTTTGAATCTGAGTTTGAATGGGAGGAAGAAAAGTAGAGGAGGCGGAGCACTAAGAAGCAGCGAAATGGAGCGATGAGGAGGAGCGTGAAGGACGAGGGTAAATCGAGGAACGATCAGGAACGATCCAGAGCGAGGAAGAGCGACGAAGGAGTTCGGGACAAGCAAGGAAGAGCGAGGGAGCGTGAGGAGCGACAATGCGCGAGGAGTGATAGGATGCGCCAGCGAGAATAGGAGGGCGCCCCCCCTCCTCGCTCGAACCACAAGTCACAAGTCCACCAGTCCTGTGCAACACTCCGTCAAAACCGGAAAAACCCGCCGCGGGCGCCGAGCCTGTGCTCAGCCGTGGGCTTCTGCGCAGCCCGGACTGGCGCTGCCGTTGGGCCACAGGGCAGCGCCCCCCTGGCCCCCCTAGGCTTGACATGCCCGCGGAGTAGCTACTCGCAAATGGCATGGATCCGCCGCGGGGGATCATCGAAACATTCCAAAGCGGGAGACATGTCTTGCTGTTGCTCAGGCGTTTGCGAGTAGGCCCTTTGCGAGTAGTGGAACGCGCCTGGTGATGTGCAGCACTCGTCATCGCGCTGCCACTGCAGCCAGCGCTGCTTGAGGACCGGAGGGGCTTCTCGGGCCGCGGCGAGCCTCGGCCAGGACCAGGTTCTCCAGTTCTCCCGCCTGGGGAGATCCGAGGACCCGCCGGGAAACCAGGGCCCTTCCGAACCCTTCCTGGGCCAGCATCGGCCCTTACTGCAGCGTCTGGGCTATAGGCTTAGGTCGGGCATGCCCTCCTGCAGGCGGATTTTGGACGAGAAATAAAAATATACAAAGAAAAATCAAAAATGATCCAAAAATGCTCAACAAATCGTCCCCAGACTACTTTTCACTATTTTTGAATGTTCCTCCTGTAGAGGGACACGCCCGACTTAACTATAGGCTCCACCCCCTCCCCCCTCCCTCCGTGAGCCCCCGCCCCCACCCGCCAGTATCAGTCAGCATCGAAGCGGCAAATCGGATCGGATCGAACATTTCGTCGGATCGGGCTGCATCACCACGCAGTCGGCATCGAATCGAATCGGCCGCGTCAGGATGCACAACAAGGCCATGCAAGCATCGGGCCGCATCGGATCGTCGGCATACCGGCATCGAATCGTATCGAAATGGCCGACACCGACCTCGGACTGGACCGATCGGATCGAATCTGCCCCATTCCCCCCCCTCCCCCTGGGCACCGACGAGCTCGCGCGGAGCGGTCCGCTCCCGCCAGGCCCCGCTGGGCGACCCCCGCCGCCAGCCGGGGGGGAGGGGGAGAGGACCAACAGGGCGGCGTCTGCTCGCACCGCGGACCGACCAACATGCGTGCCGTATGATGCCGCTCGCAAGTGGATTCGCGCAGACAAAACTCAAAACTCGTTCCAAGACTATGTTTTGAATATTTTTGGATATTCCTCCTGTAGAGGGACAGGCCCGACTTAACGGTAGTGCTGCGAAGGAAGCGGGCCCGGAAGGCAGCGGGCCACACATCCCAGGACAGGAGGTCTTCCTCCTGGCTCGTGCTCTGACGGCCCCTGGGCCCGTGGAGGGCCCGTGGAGGGCCCCTGGAGCCCGACACCTGCCATGAGCCTCAGGACCCGTCTCCCCCTGGGTGAAGCCAAAGGGGGTGCAGCTGAGAGGGGGTGGTGCAACAGATTCGGGGCAGCTGTGTTGCAAATGTATTGCGCCAGGAAATTGTACTGCATTGAACTGCAAGTGGTGCAGTGCACGCGAAAATACAGCAATACATTTGCGCCCCGAAATCTATTGCACGCCCCAAATCTATTGCAACCCCACAAATCTATTGCACCAAATCTATTGCACCACCCCCCCTGTCGCTGGACCCCCTTTTGGGTCAACCCGACCCTCGCTCCGACGAAGGCGGGCGAAAAATACGACTTGCAGATGGTGCTGCCGCTGCCGCTGTCGGTCGTGGGCCGTCGGCCGTCATCGCCGCCGGCGATACGGCAGGTTCGGGTCGTGCCGACTTCGGCGTTGGTTTTTCTGACACCGCGGGGATCGTGCAACCCTGAACGCTCGGCCGGTTCCGAAACGTCAGATCGTTCAATATCGACCGATGCTTGGTCGCCGGGGGCGTTCATCGTGGAACGCCGGCGGCGGGGCCGCCGCTGGTCGATACGACGCGAAGCTACCGGACATCCGTCTTCATCGTTTCATTCGGGGTCCCCGCACGACCTGGCCCTTGCCCCCGGGGGTGGCCGCACGTCGCGGCCGTTTCCCCTGGCTTTTCCTTCCTGGCCGGTTTGGTTGACGGCCCCAGGGTCGACGAGGGCCCCCCTGGAGGCCGAAAACGGAGAAGCATGTTTCGGTCAGCAGTCTGGCTGCTCGGGTACAGGCCTCGTGCTGCTTCCGTGGGGAGCAATCAATGGACATTGCCCCCTTTCCTCCGGATTCGAAGTGGGCACGCGCGGAGGAGACTGCGGCCGAAGTGCAACTCATCAGACCCACCGCCATCTTTGAACATGTGGGGGAGGGGGAAGGCGTTGTCCGATGAGTGTGGCATGAGCGTTCGCTGTTTGTGTTCCGAGGCCTGTGCCACTAGGAACGCCGAGTAAGGAACGAAGGGGCTGTCCTGCCCATGGCGAGCCTCGGCCACGAGCAGGTTCCCCGAAGCAGATCTAAATCAGGGGAACCAGGGTGCGTGGCTGAAGTGTGCTTCCGCGATGCGGATTGTTGTGGTAGTTGTGGTTGTTGTGGTATGTGTGGTTGTTGCTGGTGGTCTTGGTGTTGGTGTTGCTGTTGTTGGTGTTGTTGCTGCTTTTGGTGTTGTTGTTGTTGAAGCTGCTGTTGCTCATGTTGAACTCTCACTACTGAAGAGGAAGTATTGTTGATCCCCCTCCGGTGTGTTTTTATTGAAGTGTTTCCTCTCGTGACTCGCACCCTTTTTTACATGGACAATCTTCCTCCTCCAACTGCGCCCCTGGCCCCTGGACTACAACAACAACGGCTCCCGCCTGATACTTCCTCGCAGTCTGCTGAGGAATCGCGCTCTCGCGCGGGACTTCCTCACAATTTATATCGGAATCGTGCTCTCGCGTGGGAATTCTCAACAATTTATTTAAGCGCCGCACCCTCGCCATTCAGGAATCGCGCTCTCGCTTGGGAATTCTTCATATCTACTTAGGGCTTTCTGGCGAATTATGCTGGACTCACGCACTCGCGTAAAATACGCGTTTTTCAATTGAACTGCCCCACCCGGGACTCGCTGTGTTTTTACCGGAGAAAATCTTCCTGCTCAAACTGTGCCCTGGCCCCCGGTTTACAACAACAACGGCTCCCGCCTCATATTTCCTTACAGTGTATTCCCAAATCGCGCTCTCGCGAGGAACTTCCTAATAATTTAATGCAGGGATCACGTTTTCGCGTGGGACATCCTTGCAGTTCATCCGAACGCCCCGCCCTCGACACTCAGGAATCACGATCTCGCTGCGGATTTCTTCTTCAAGATCTATTGGGGAATCGCGCTATCGCTCGAGACTTCCTCGCGACTCATGCAGAACGCACGCTTTAGCAACCCGCCTTCTCGACCTGGCCGTCTAGGCCCGCCTTCCCGACCCCCCCGTTCGGGTCTACCCACTCAATCTGCCCGTCTGGTCCTGTCACGTGTTGTCTGTGCCTAGCCCCCCTCCTGCTATTTTCTATCATGCTCCATCTTCCTCCCTCCCCCTTGTCCCTTCCTTCCATCCGTCCTCCCTTTCCCTGCTTTGGGAGCTGCACGAAATACACATGTTGCATAAGAAAGATACACCCCGAAAGGGGCACAATCGAAGACGAACTGCGCGGGTATCGAGGGTTTGGGATGTATGTGTTGAGTGGCACGCGAGCAGGGAAGAGCGAAGTGTCTTAGAATGAGGGTTGCTGGTGTTGGTGCTGTTGCTGCTGCTGCTGTTGTTGCTGTTGCTGTTGTAGGTGATGTTTGACTTTGGTTTGTTTTGTGTTGTTTTGTTGTGTTGTTGCTTTGTTCCCGAACCAGTGCTTGCACTTATGGGTTCTTGCTTGGCTTAACCATCTCGGGGTGGCTGGCAGCTTTTGCGGGCGGTGCCGCCGGGCGCCGCCGTCGCCGTCGCATAGATTCTCCTTTCCACAAAAACATTGACTCTACCCCGCCAGGGATTATCACCTCCTTCTTTCGTATTGAAATTTACATATGCTTCTGCCCCATCGTCCATCCTAAATATGAATTCGCACCATCCCATCCCAACCGGTATCGCCCCCCCCCCGCCGTCCTGTGCAAAAAAAATCATATTCGCGCGCAGGTGTTTATCACAAGTTATTTTTGTTCAAATCCCTTTGCAAAAAAAGGACGCAATGCACACGCGCGCGTCGTCGCGAACGCCTGTCGGATTCCTTCAACAACTTTTGGTTGCGTAAATACTCCAAAAACCGAGCATCCCAAAACACGGGGTTTCGCAACACTCGTTGTCAAAACAAACTCGCGCGCGCTCTGGGGAATCCTTATGACAGCAAATGGTTTCTAAAAATTTTCATCGAACGCCCTAGAGCGCGTGCCGCCGCGAGAACCCTTAGCAAACAATGAGACAAAACGCGCACGCGCGCGTCGTCGCGCGCGCATGCCGACATCCGTCAACAACCTCAAGTTTCGTAGCGAGTTCAACAAAACCGACTGCCCCGAAAGCTTACAAAAACAGTTGGTTTCGCAACATCAGTTGTGAGGAAAAAAAGCGTGCGCTCGCGGTTTTCAGAATTCTGAAGAAACCATTGGTTTTTCAACATGTTCATGAAATTCTGTCAAACGGGCCTGCGGCGCCGCATGC